TTCGCTAGATATTCTTATTCCAGGACCCTTTGAGTGGCCCCTATATACCAGAAAGGTGTCCAGAAGCACTCTGGGAGCTAAGAATCTGCAAGGCAGTCTTCTCCTCCACAATTTAGAAGCAGAATAAGAGGGATTTATTTTTTTTTTCTTTTCCTTTTTCCTTTCCTAATTGGTAGTTGTCTGTAGAGATAACACTTTCTTCACACACCAGCATGTTGATGTAACCGGTCAGAAAACACACAGGCCAAGCAAGAGGTGAGACTGGAGAAGCAGAGTCATAGAATCACAGAATGGTTAGGTTGGAAGGGACCTTAAAGATCACCTAGTTCCAACCCCCCTGCCATGGGCAGGGACACCTCCCACTAGACTAGGTTGCTCAAAGCCCCGTCCAACCTGGCCTTGAACACCTCCAGGGATGGGCCATCTACAACTTCTCTGGGCAAAAGAAAGGAAAGGAAACAAAGGAGCGACCAGTGTTGGGTCACTTGTGGAACTGAGTGCTGTCAAAAACCCTGTCAGGTATAGTTTGTCTTGATTTTTGGATGAAAAGGGTAAAGCAGCAGACAATGCTGGTGTGTAGAGTGCACCATTCAGTAGCACCGTTGCAGCAGAAGGGAACGAGTTGCTTTCGCATGCAGATTGATCACCTGGACAAGGGTTTGCAGAGGGGGCTGAAGAACCCACTGACTTGCCCACTGAAACCCACTGAACCCACTGGAAATCCCAGTTGTGTTTCTTCACTTGTTTTTGAGGCATTGCCTGAGCTCATGCCAGAGTGCCGCATGAGGCAGACTAAACCACCCTCATATCATCCTTGCAGAAAATGGGTGTTTGTCTTCCAGTGATCCCTGTCTCTCGTTGCACTTGGCTCAGGCTAGTCTCAAAGCAGTTAACAGTCTGTGCCTTTATGGACAAAAAGGCTTTTACATCTTGCTGAGGCCTCACTGGATTTTAATAGTCAAATAAAGTTTCACCAGAGCTGGCTTCTTTTGCTCTGCAATTGTTATGGTTTCCTTTTACTCCATTTCTTATTTATGAATCATTTCAAAACAGGCCAATGGAATTCTTCAAGTAGGTTTTTAAACAAGTTTTGACAATGTTTTTTAGTCGTTCTGAGCTAAAAATAATACAAACCAGCAGGTATAGACTGGAGAAGAGTGCCTTCAGTCCCTAAAGGACCTTTTACTGCATTTGCTCCCTAGGGGGAGGCAAGTAGAGACACACAAAAAAAAAAACAACCAAAAAGGCATCAATTCCATTTGTTCACCTTACTAAGCTGTAAATGCCAAGGCTCAGCTCTGAGCAGTGCCACCGCCTTCCTCACCTCAGCAGAGAAGAACTCGTTCTGTCTGTGATAAAAATTTAGAAGGATGCTTTTCTCCCTGGTTACTCCCTGTGACTGGCACAAGAGGTAGGCACAGCTTGCTTACGCTCATCTGACGGGAAACTGAATGATATGTTCATTTTTCCCCAAGAATAATTTGCAAATGGTCTTTGGCATCTCCAGCCACTGACCCCTCCTAATCCCCCTCTTCGTTCTTGGGCTCAAGTATTTCTGGGTGTTTGCCGCTTCTTCGCCATTTTTGTAGGTGAGCTTCTTCATTGCGTGTTTTAGTTCTTTGGTTCCACCAGTAAGTACATCTGTACCATTTCTCAGTCTGGATCATGGGAGAATAGCACCTGAATGTATTTTGGTTTTCTGGACAGCAAAAAGGATGATCCCATTTCCCTCTTGCTGCTTGCCTTTCTGTTACAGAGACGGCGGGGTGACAGAGTGACAGAGCTGTGGATCGGGCCACATCCTCAGCAATTGTCAGCTCTTAACCGAAACACTTGGAAGGCTGTAAATTTTTGAAGTATTTTGTTTTGTAATGTATACGTCACAGGACAGCAATCGGGACAGATTTAAAAAGCAGGAGATTATTCTCATTGTCTTGTCAGCTGTGAACAGCCAGCAAGCTCCTAAGAAATAGAAGGAGGGGGACAGTGGAGTCCCGGTGGAGCTACAGGGAACAAGATCCGCTTCTTAACTTCCTACCAGTGACCAGCAGAAGTGTACAGATATCTGTACACACACACATATGTAAAATTAAATATCACCTACGTTAACGTGCAGTTGATGCAGAAGTTGGGGAAAATGTAGATCATGAAGAAGACTGAAAGGGTTGTCAAGTGCTGGAACAGGCTGCCCAGGGAAGTGGTTGAGTCACTGTCCCTGGGGGTATCTAAAAGATGGGTAGATGTGGCGCCGAGGGACATGGTTTAGTGGTAACTTGGCAGTGTTAGATTAACGGTTGGACTTGATGGACTTAAAGTTCTCTTCCAACCCTAACGATTCTATGATTCTATGAAGAGAAAGCAATGAACAGGATTTTCAATAACCTGCAAATAATGTTCAGGATTTGGATAACATTCACATAACTTTGTTCTGACACAGCCAAACCTACAACTGGGAACCCAGAGAGCCTTCCCGTGGAGGGAGAGCTCTATTTGCTTTGACAAAAGGCTGAGGTTTGCACTCGAAGAACAATTCAGCAAGGTCTGATAGGTGCAGTCACTGCAGTCCTGAATTGTATCAGACAATCCGTATACCTTTATATGTGTTTATGAGCTCAATTGTGCTTACCATACCAGCGTCCAAAAATTTTTAAAGGTCAAAAACCAGAAAGCACAGAAAAGAGCTATTTATAGCTCCATCAGTTTGGACTGTCAAAACAGAATCAGGGGCTGGGTTGAGTACAGGCACGTAAGTTACCTTTTCAGGGGGAGACAATACCAAATGCCTCTTTCAGCTCTTGGAGAAAAGGCGTAGCAGCAGCAGCTGGACGCTGAACCATACTAAGTCAAACAAGAAAATCACAACTTTCACAGCAACGTTAACCTGGACCAAATACCACTGGAATGGGTACAGTGTGTCTCTCTCTCGATGTCTCCATGCCATGTTCAAGTATCTTCCTGAAAAGACACTTGGGAAGCAAGATGGGCATTTTTGATACTTCTCTGGGATAATACAGCGATTTGCATCCCTTTGGGGGTAGTTCACAACAGGGCAGTATTTTGAATGGAGGGAGGTGGGCAAAATTTAAGGAAGATTTTGCATTGACTATAATGGCACCGAGCCAGAGAAGAGGTTGAATAGCAATCATACCTTACAGCAATGCAAAAGTTGTCTGGAATTCTGTCTGAAAAGTTGATATCAGAAAAAAACAGTAAGTTTAAAGGAAACTTTCAGGTTAGGGACCCTTTGGCAATGCAGCAGTAGCTCCAGACATGACCCGCATGGCCACAAATTTGTTGCAAGCAGCAGGCTGTGCTCCGAATTTTTTTCTTAGGGCAAGACACAGTATCCAAATGGTCATTTGGCCTCCTCAAAGACAAAGCAGCGAAGGCGTGCCATATTCTACATCTGTATTCAGTCAGTCAATTAGTAGCGCCCATTTCTGTATATGCTGTGAGATCCCCGAGAGCCTCCATCAAATTTGAGTGTATTGTTCAAGAGCTTTCATGGCTGACCACAGCAACCGTCAGCTGCAGTGAAAGCTCTGGATGGGGAAATGGAAAACTGTAATTCCTCAGCTGCCACCAAAGTCTTTGCTTCAAACTTACTTACAATATTAAATGCAATGCTTACCAAGAATTGGAATTTTCAAAAGCACAAAAGGAGATGGCTCTCAGATTGGGAGTAATGCATGTTTCTATTTTAGGAGCATGAAAACCTCCAATTATTATTTGCATACAGTCCCATTCGGACTTCTGCACTGGGTTAAAACTCCCTTTCTTAAAAGGTAATTTTTTCTTGAGTCTGGGGCACAGAGAGAACAACTACTGTCTCAAAGAAGGATGAGGATCTGCTGGAGAGGGTCCAGCAAAGGGCTACTAAGATGATTAGGGGATTGGAACATCTTTCTTATGAGGAAAGGCTGAGGGACTTGGGTCTCTTTAGTCTAGAGAAAAGAAGACTGAGGGGTGATCTTATCAATACTTACAAATACTTAAAGGGAGGATGCCAGGGGGATGGGAGCAGTCTTTTTTCAGTGGTGCCCAGTGATAGGACGAGGTAACGGGCACAAACTTGAACACAGGAAGTTCCATCTAACCATGAGGAGGGACTTCTTCCCTTTGAAAGTGGCAGAGCACTGGCACAGGCTGCCCAGAGAGGTTGTGGAGTCTCCCACACTGGAGACATTCAAAACCCGCCTGGACGCTGTCCTGTGCAACTGCTGTAGGTGACCCTGCTCTGGTGGGGGGGTTGGACTGGATGGTCTCCAGAGGTCCCTTCCAACCCTGACCATTCTGTGATTCTGTGAAATGTCTTAAATCATACCGTTCTTGAGGGAAAAAATAGCAGCTGAAAACTTAAATGTTGTGGTCATTTAAAATACTTTGTTAAGCTACAGTCAGTTGCAGAGTTCACTGATAATGGATATTAAACATGAAGAGCATTGTCCTGTATTGTTTAACTGAATGTCATTTATCTTATGTACTTGTATTATGTTGGTTGGCAGAAGAGAACATATGTTCCTGGGGCTTTATGCTATGTGTGAGTTTTTTTATTTTTTTTTTTTAAATAAATGAAGTTATATAACAACAAACCCACACATCTGCTCGGTTGCAACATGTCAAGGGCTGGTTACATCCAGGCAGAAAAAATACTGCTAAAATGCACCTTGTTTTCTGTATTTCGTAGTGAGGGAATATTACATTCAATCTCTCATTTAGACCCAACTTCATTTTAAGGGTCATCTAGTTAATTTAGCTGCGAAGTAGCGTTAAATATATGTGCCGTATAGTTTGCGGTAAGCTAAGAGATTTTTGTAGAAATAAGTTTTTAATGATCATTATGCTGCAACTATTACAGAAGCTTTGCATTGTGTATCTTCAGTTTTACACAGAGCCCACCAGCAGCTCTGCATAAATGCCTCGCTTCAGTATTTTGCAGGCAGGTATGCAGTTTGCTCCCTTGCGTTGCCCACGGATCTATTTATTATTTTATTTTGCAGTTCTTTCCATATGGAGATGCGTCAAAGTTTGCCCAGCACGCCTTCCGAACCTTTGATAAAAACGGAGATGGGACCATCGACTTCAGAGAGTTCATTTGTGCGCTCTCCATCACCTCACGAGGCAGTTTTGAGCAAAAGCTGAACTGGGCCTTCAACATGTACGACCTGGATGGTGATGGTAAAATTACAAGAGTGGAAATGCTGGAAATTATAGAGGTGAGATCAATATGACACTGAAAAATAACGTCTCCAAACACAAGTAAAATTTGAGTTCTTGTTCACGTACCCTTTAGGTTTTAAGCACCAAAGAGGCTGTGCTGTATCATTAAAAGCGTACGTTACATACATTCATCCTACACCGACTCACGCCTAAGTAAGTGATGCGAGCACACTCACAGCGTAATAGATGTAATCTCAGAGAATCGCAGAGAGTACATATGTGCATATAAGCTTTTAAATATCAAGAGGCATTTTTTTTCTGATGAACGGATTAACCATAAGAACAGCCCAGCAAAGGATTTGCAAAGCCCATCTCAAAATCACTTGACGCCTATGAAATTACTGGTTTGTAGCTCAAGTAGCTGAAACCTTACTGGAGATTAACTTCAGATTACAGAAATTTACAGGGATAACAACACACTATTTTAAGTGAGCTCTCACAGATGGGCTTTAAGATGACCACAGCACTAATGGGGAGGATAAAGTTTACCTCCCTCGTCATCTGCCAGCTACTTGCCACAGTAGTTAATACCAGATTTTGCTCACATGTGCACACAGAAAGCTATTAAAAGGTGATGACTGCTAAAACTGATTATTCAGAATTTATGTGAAGTATTTCTATGGAGTGACTAAAAGCCAAATAAACAGTTGATCCGGAGAACAGGTTACAACAGTTTTGCTCTGTGAAACAGAAAGCCAAAGGAACTCATCCCAGGATACAAAAAGCAACCACCGAAATAAATCTACATCTAAAGAAAGTAAAACACATTCTTCTGTGTTTTAAGTATATCAGTATTTGATTCTAAGAAAAAAAAAAAATCTTTAGGGAAACTGGCAATCATTTTATTGTTGGAATATCTTTCCAAAATTTGATCACATCAAAAAATCAGGTTAATTCATTTGTTGAGTTTTCTATTTGGTTTCTTTCCAAAGGCCATCTACAAAATGGTGGGCACTGTGATAATGATGAAAATGAATGAGGATGGTCTGACGCCTGAGCAGCGAGTAGACAAGATCTTCAGTAAGATGGATAAGAACAAAGACGACCAGATCACACTGGATGAATTCAAAGAAGCTGCAAAGAGTGATCCTTCCATTGTATTACTCCTGCAGTGTGACATTCAAAAATGAGCTTGTGTACAACGCGTCATAGACTGCACAGAAGTTTAATGTTCCATTCAGTTTGCAGCTATTTCCACACACACAAAAATTTGCTTGGACTACCTATAAATGGACTTGCTTCTTGTGTTTGAAACACTTGTGTGCATGAGAATGTCATTTGCTAAAGAATTTTAAAAGTATATATTATAAAAATAAACTGCCACAACGTGACGTGTGCAATGTCATTTCATAACAACCCTATTCCTCTGAAGCCTGTGCAGCCGTCCCGTGCTGCAGTGAATTATATTATTTATTGTTCATGTTTTACTGATGCTAGCTCTGTGTCTCCTAGCCTGAGTAATGTTAGTGACACTGAATTCCCATGGTAATGTTAACTGTTTATTATAAACCATGTCACCATTCTGCTGTAAAGTAGTACTGGACAGACGGAGGGGAAGAGTTCCTCAGCTCTTAAGTCTGATCCACACATGTGCTTGTATTGTCAGTGGATATAAATGTACTTCATTTGCATGCCTTTTAGGTTTGCCTTAATTCTTACCTCATTTGCATCCCTTCAATCTGGAAAGAGCTATGTCAGAGGAATGCAGTATAAAAAAAGAAATCCTGCTAAAATGATCCCTTTAATTAAAAGTATATATAAATATATATATATAATGTTTAAAATATTGTTTTATTGGAAGTTTAAAGGTTTTATTGGAAGTGTATTGATCTTTGCCTGAATTTTCAAAAGCTTCCACAGAGGTTGCAATCTATATGTCCCAAAATAAATTTATAACATTTGACCTTTTCCCCTAATTTTTATTTCATGTCTTCAGCACGGTAATAGGAAAAAAAAAAAGTTCAGTCTCTTTAATTACCTGTCACTGTACTACTGGGAAATATATATTTCAGTATGAAAGCGTGAAGGAAACTTCTTTGCACTCACTCACTCACTCGAAGAGTTGTATTATACGAAACCAAAAAGTTGTAGTTCTCATACCTACCAACAGAGCAGCCGTTTATCCTCTAAGATTTCTGTCACTAAGATTATTTACCAGTATACCTACTAGACCTGTGCTTACGCAGCTTTTTAAGCTAGCTGGAAGTCAAATACAGTTTATTTGCTTGGCCTAAATCTGGTCTTTTAATGTTTTTCCCTCCTTAAGTGTTTCCTCTTACCATATGACATGAACTACCCCGGGTTTAATATAAACAGACATGTTGTCAAAAATCGTTACTGATGAATTAACTACAGAGTATGATGATCGAGAAGGGACAGTGAAGAGAAACACCCTCCTCCTCAACTCTGTGTGCATCAAGTTTGTTGTAAGTACGAGTTGTGCGCAGCCCAGGGAAAGCATCGAGAACTGGCAGACTGCAGAAACTGCAGATAGAAATCCTTCCTTACAACACATTTTCCAGGTGCTTTAAACAGTCGGTTGCTTACAGGATTACAAAAAAAAAATAATGTCTGAACATGTTACAATTGCATGTTTGATATTTCTTCTTTGCCTTATGAAGAAATGAGACAGTACTCTTAATAGCTAAAAATCAGACAATAAAACATGACAGAAACTAAGTCATTCTCTGTATTTTCAAATGTAAAAAGTGAAGGTCATCTTAAAATTGAGGAAAAAAAAAAAATCGCAAAAAACAGTTTTACGTATTTTGCTAACATACGTGGTGGGAGGAACACACAATCAATTGTTGCCACAACCACAGCTATCCTCTCATGTTTAAGTTTCTTTGTATTCCAAACAAACAGCAAAAGGCAGAATTTCCACTACATATTTTAATACCAGAATTTTACTCAGACTTCACACAGGCAATGTTCTTAGCAAATTAGAAAGTGGTATACTTTGTATGTTTGGCTATAACTTAAAAATAAAACCCGCATTCGAAAATGTTACATACTTCAGAGAATGATACGCCCATTGTTTCCACTTGGGCTCAAATTACCAGTTGTAGAGAGGATGCTGAATATTCCTGGGAATTTATGCCTCTTTTGTTTACATATACTTATTAGAGAAGCAGTACCTTATTCTTCATTTCCCTGCGCCTTGAATTTATGTCGCTGGACAGACTCCATTTACTTTAATGCAGCATTAAGCAATGCATTGCCATCCAAAATGGCCAACAGCTCAAACACAGTCACAAAACGTAACATGAACACTGCACTTCTCTCTCTAGGCAGCTGGTGTGGTAAACTCTGTATTTAAAGTATCAAGAATAAGATAGTTTTGAGACCTTAGTAGGATCACTGCAAAAATAAGTGCATCCAAGCAAGCACTTCAGTAATTGTTTATTCAGAACTAATCCCCTACCATGACAACAGTTGCTTATAATATACAGTCAGGCACACATTTTCATCAAGTACAGTGGTAGATTAGAATAAATACAATATATTGATTTGAACCAAAGACCAGAATTGTTGCCAACTGCTCCAATATTTCAAGTAAGTCTATAGAAAACGTGGGAGAAAGCTGAAGTGTTAGCTCAGTAGGAATGCAATAATTTTCCTTAAAATCATTGCTCCACACAACTCATTATAAAAGTACTAATGAAGATAAATGCTTTTCTCTCTCCTGCCTCTGCACTCTTGCTTTATTTTTTTGGATGCTGAAGAAAATCAGGAAGAAGGAATGCTATGCCACTGTATCATTTCATATTGTAAAAGGGTCTGAAACATTCTAGTTTCATCATAAAATCAAGTCAAACTGAATGGAGCACGTTAAAGATCAGTTAGATAAATTGGATATACATAAATCCATGGGGCCTGATGGGATGCACCCTCGGGTGCTGAGGGAGCTGGGGGAAGTCATTGCTGGGCCTCTCTCCATTATCTTTGAAAGGTCCTGGAGGACAGGTGAGGTGCCTGAGGACTGGAGGATAGCCAATGTCACTCCAGTCTTCAAAAAGGGCAGGAAGGATGACCCGGGAAACTACAGGCCGGTCAGCCTCACCTCCATCCCTGGGAAGATGATGGAGCGGCTTGTTCTGGGAGTCATCTCAAAGCACCTGGATGAAAAGAAGATTATCAGAAGTAGTCAACATGGATTCACCAAGGGGAAGTCGTGTCTGACTAATCTGATAGCCTTCTATGACAAAGTAACTAGATGGGTGGATGAGGGGAGGGCAGTGGATGTTGTCTACCTTGACTTTGGCAAGGCTTTCGACACTGTCTCCCACATCATCCTCACAGGAAAGCTTAGGAAGTGTGGCTTAGATGAATGGACAGTGAGGTGGATTGAGAACTGGCTTACAGATAGAGCTCAGAGGGTTGTGGTTAGTGGCGCAGAGTCTAGTTGGAGGTTAGTAACAAGTGGTGTCCCTCAGGGGTCAGTACTGGGCCCAGTTTTGTTCAACATATTCATCAATGATCTGGATGAAGGGATAGAGTGTACCATCAGCAAGTTTGCTGATGACACAAAACTGGGAGGAGTGGCTGACACGCCAGAAGGCTGTGCTGCCTTACAGCGTGACCTCGCCAGGCTGGAGAGTTGGGCAGAAAGAAACCTTATGAAGTTCAACAAGGGTAAGTGTAGGGTACTGCACCTGGGGAGGAATAACCCCATGCACCAGTACAGGTTGGGGGCTGACCTCCTGGAGAGCAGCTCTGTGGAGAGGGACCTGGGAGTCCTGGTGGACAACAGGATGACCATGAGCCAGCAATGTGCCCTGGCGGCCAAGAAGGCGAATGGCATCCTGGGGTGCATCAAGAAGAGTGTGGCCAGCAGGTCGAGGGAGGTCATCCTCCCCCTCTACTCTGCCCTGGTGAGACCGCATCTGGAGTACTGTGTCCAGTTCTGGGCTCCCCAGTTCAAGAAAGACAGGGAACTGCTTGAGAGGGTCCAGCAAAGGGCAACAAAGATGATTAGGGGACTGGAGCACCTTTCTTATGAGGAAAGGCTGAGGGACTTGGGTCTCTTTAGTCTAGAGAAAAGAAGATCGAGGGGGGATCTTATTAATACTTACAAATACTTAATGGGAGGATGCCAGGGGGATGGGAGCAGTCTTTTTTCAGTGGTGCCCAGTGATAGGACGAGGGGTAATGGGCATAAACTTGAACATAGGAAGTTCCATCTTAACATGAGAAGGAACTTCTTTACTTTGAGGGTAGTGGAGCACTGGAACAGGCTGCCCAGAGAGGTGGTGGAGTCTCCCACTCTGGAGACATTCAAAACCCGCCTGGACGCTGTCCTGTGTAACGTGCTGTAGGTGACCCTGCTCTGGCAGGAGGGTTGGACTAGATGATCGCCAGAGGTCCCTTCCAACCCTAACAATTCTGTGAATTCTGTGAATTCTGTGTGGTTCCTCCCCATGTAATCCTACCGAGGACTCCCAGTAGAAACAAGCTGGGCTCGTGTTCCAGACAAGTTTTGCCAAGTATGCACTTTGCATGGCTTCCCCCCCCCGAACCCCCCCAGTATTTTCACATCATAATCCTAAACACCTTTTAAGTATGTTTAATATACATTTCATCAAATGACAGGATTATGGAATTGTTTCAGTTTGGTAGGGACCTCCAGAGGTCTCTTGCCCTGCTTGAAGGAGGTGCAGCAGGCTCTTCAGACCCAAAAGCCTCTGAGGATGGAGATTCCACAGCCTGTCAAGACAATATGCTCAAATGCCTCAATATCATCATCCCGAACAATCCCTCTCCTCGGGTTATCCACCCAGAAGGTCCCCACTTCAATTAAAACTGCCGTCTGTCTCTCTTCTGCCACACGCTTCAACAAAAAGCCTGACCCTCTTTTCCTGTTTTGCCCCAAAGCTGCGGAGGCTGTTGGCCCATTACCCCGTGCTTTCAGAAGGAAACATCTGAAGCCTTTAAAAGATCACAGAATGGTCAGGAGCGGAAGGGACCTCTGGCAATCATCTAGTCCAACCCCCAATATCACTAGGCTTAATTCCTATAGTACAAATGCACCAGAACTGCCGCTGGCTTTCTCGGCATAATTCCTTCAATTCTTATCTAGCTTCCAGATTTTAGAGATACCTACAAGTTTAATACGTGCTTGTGTAAAAACTAAACAACGTTAAAGAACACAAAATACTGTGCAGCGGCTCAAGCCAAATTCACTACAAAGTCGAGTTAAAACTTAGGCTGCAATGAGGTTTTATTGAGGAATTGCTATTCAGTAAATAACGGTAGAAACTGCAGAACTGTTCTCTGAATCGTCTCAATGGCTTTTGTATCCCCATAACATAAAAAAAGAAGAAAAAAGTATGTCTAATGGCTGAACTCTAAAAAGTGATTGTTTTTGAAGAGCTCCCAACAATCTCAAGTTCCTGGAATAAGGAGAACAAAAGAGAAAAAAAAAAAGAATGTTACTTTGAGGCAGTCTGAAAAATCTGGTTCTTCTTTTCCCCTCTTAACCCCAACAAATGCTTGCCGTATTTGAATAAAGCAAATTAATTTTATTTTAACTGCTCTAGTATAGTCTTGAGGGAGGGTGGGAGGCGAGGGGAGGCACAGACACCCAACCAAGAGCAGGCCTATGATGCTGTAGAATAGTTACTGTATTATTTCCCAAAATTCTTATTCCACTTCATTCCTCTAAAGTAACAGAAGTCCTTCCAATATAGCTTGTTATAATATAATTAGTATCTACAGACTTAGGCTATACCTGCAAACTCAGACTATGCAAGGACTTAGTTTACTGGAATTAAGAATATAAGCTTATAAAGTTACAATTTGCTAGGTTTTGTAAGCTCGTGTCCAAAGAAACTCAAACTCTTGCCTATAAACTCTTTAGGAAGAAATGAAAGCATTTTTTTTTGCTGCCCAGAGAATATACTGTAAATAAGTTATTCACTTCTGTAGTTATGAAAGTGTATACTATAAGTACTGATAGTTTCTCACATTCAGCTGCTGTGGTTCCACTGGAAAAAAATGAAACACGTGTTTTACTGCATGTATTAATTAGCACACGTTTAAGAAATAAAGCAGAGCTTTATTTGAAAGAAATCAATATTTGTAACTTAATGTTAAGTATATAGAGACACTAAAACATTCCCACAAGTATCAGTTTTCACTCTTTATTAAAATATTACTCCACAGTTTTTCAAAATATATTTCACCTTTTCCAGAAGAAAGAACAGAACAACCGATAAAAAATTCTACTAGTTGTTAGATAAAAATATCAACTGAACATTCAGGATTTTCTCATCATCAAAACAGTGCTTACTCTTGGTCTGTACACATACAGTAATTCTTAAAAATAAAAAAATTAAAAAAAATACAGGAACCTCTTCTTTTCCTGAGAGTATCTAACAAAAGATCCTCTTACCTAGCGTCAGGAAGTAGTAACTTTACACACATAATTACACATTTATCCCCAATAGTATACCATATTCATACACAGAGATACTTATTGATCTTCCTCGTTGTCATTCCTTTTTTGGAAATTCAATGTCCTTTGGCCTCTTTCAGGGTCCTGCATTCGGAGGATTCGAATCCGGGAACTTGTAGGCAGAGAACTAAAAATAAAGTATGCATCATTTTAACAGTGTTTCTTCTCCACAAATTTTAGTATTTCCATTTGACACTTTCCATTACATATTTTCCTTTAAATAACTCCATCTTTTTTTCTTTGTCAGTTTTAAAAAACAGTCCCACGGGTGAAGTTCTGGCTTCATTGCACTGGTACTGGAGCCAGACTTCAGTAAAAGCTTGAGGTAAAGACAATGACTGATTTCAATCATGTGATTTCTAACAATTAGACTACCTTAGTTATAGAAACGGTACTTTAAAGAGAAACTCCAAATGAAATAATGATCGAATACAGTTTGTATTTGCCTTACAGATCCTGAAGTGGCACACACTTTATACATGTATAATCACTCACATCATACTAAGAATGAGCAAAGTTACTACACATACATTTATAGAGGCTTCTCCACCAATTCTCCTAAATTTATTTTTTCTGAAGGTGCCTCCTTACCTTTGTTACATTAAATGTTGCTGAACATCCAACATGTAACAAAATATAACAAAAACGATATGCACTTAATTATTAAACTTTTAAACAGTACCCATACAGAAAATTCCTGTATGTTTATTGAATGCAGTTTTAGAAATTCCCCACAAAGCATTTCCACCTAACAACAACAGAATACCATTAATTCTACTTTTTATAGATTTTAGTAAGGGAAGACAATTAAGTGCAAATCCACTTCATTTTGAAGACCACTTAATTATCCTCCACAGGCTTCACTGATTACATCTGGCTAATAGAGAGAAGAGTTGGCTGCGTAAGGTTAGACAGTGACTGTCCCTTTCATCTGGGCATGGCTTTACCAGGGACTTATATGGAGCTTTTTAAAGAATTTTGGGCTACTAAATCAAAAAAAAATAAAAGAAAACAAGGAGTAAGTTATCAGTTTCTAGATCGGTGATGTTAAAAAAAAAAAAAATCAACTCGAATGACAAACATCTTGAAAGTACTGTAGTATTAATAGGAAAAATGCTAAGTCTTCTGTTAATTTGGGGAGGGGAGATACAGGGCTAAAAGCTGCCAGGAGCCTACTTTACACAGTAAGATGTTTCAAAAACCTGTTCTACTTAAGATAAACTGATTCAAGTGTCACTGAACTACCATAGTAAGAGACATTACATAAGGAAGAGTGAAAAACCTATTAAATTCCCAGAACCATCAGCAATGAACTGCTTAATTGTTGATGTTCTACTGCTACAGACAGCAAAATTTCTTTCTCCTCATATTTACATTTTTCAAGTTATACTCATTGCAATAGAACTTCCTTGTAATTCTTGTACCAGGAAATATAACACAACAGTATTACCTCATGCTTTGTGGGGTGAGCAAAATGAACTGTCGATGATGCTGAGAGTCAGCCACCTTAAGAATCATATCCATTGCAATTCTTCTGTTAACCATGTCCTAAAGACAAAAGATTTATCAGGTAGGGATACTGACCATGTGCTTCACTGGGCTATTACTGCACAAATTAGGACAAATCCTTAAGAATAAATTCATTAGAAAATACTTAATAGAAAAACCTACTGGAATTAATTCATACACAGTAAAGCTTAGCTAAAGAAAAGTGTAATAATAACTAAGCTGGAGAAACATTAGGGTTAAATTCTAAAAGCTACAAATTACAGTCTGGGAAATTGTTAAACTCGACTTTTTAGTATATATGCACAATAGAAAGCTTCTGTCGGAACAATCACACACTCCCACACACATTTTTCTATCAGCTTTTATACATGTAGTGCTTCTTACTTTATTGGTATGCTGAGATTAATTGTATTTTAGTAGAATAATGTTTCCTATAAAATCCTGCTTCAAAATTACCTGAAAGGATTTAAGGGTTGCATGAACCCTATTATGTAGCTTGTTTTTATTATGCTTATTGTTATTATTATTACTATTTTGAATACAACCTTATGCATTAGGCTTACTGAAAAAGATTTGTAATGAGAAGCTAATATGAGCAGGGGTTAAACAAAGCTCTGCTTCTACACATGAAAGTAGGTATCTCCCTTGCAAATAAGCTGATGGAGTCCTCTTGTGGTGGGTCTCCAGGATAGCACCAAAAGTAACCACAGAACGTGGAGACAGTAAGGTTGCAGTTACTGGCACAGCAGCGAAAAGACAAATTATGTGGAATTATTTATGGAATAGACACCATGGAAGTTCTCAGCAGGACCTACGGTTCTGAGTATCCACCCTTTTCTGGACAGATGGATAGACTTCTGCACAACTAACTTGTAAAAGCGGACCTAAGCTTTGGAAGTCAGCTGAAAAATGACTGCTTGACCGTCTTAGATGCTTACTTTCCTTTTTGAAATTCTTTATATATAAAGTGTATTATCTTTTTTTTCCCCTCTAGGTCTGTGATTCCCAGTAAATAAATCATTGAGAGTGAGGGGCACTGAAGGCAAAATGAAATAATCCAGTATCAACTCTTTGTCTCACAGAACTAATTCTTTTCTCAAACCATACCACACTGCATATTAATAAGGAGGAAATAAAATTAAAATACATTAAAAAATTGGTTAATAGCCTACGCAGGGAAGCTGTACACAAAGATGAGGTTTATCAGTAGGATCTACTGTTCATTATTCTGCATTTCAGCATCCTGGAAAGATGCTACTAGGTGAAGTATAAAAAAAAAGTTTCTGACGAGCAACAGTGAACTCAATTGCTACACTTGCTCTGGAAAAAAACCCCACTGATCTCAGAATTGGTAGAAGTCAAAGCACATGCTAAACCCAGAAGTGTCACAGCCATATGCAAAGGCAATCTGTGACAAACACAGTAACAACTGCTTGGGGAACTAATAAAAAAAAAAGTTGTATTTTATGATTTTTGCACTGAAATAAGGTTTAAGCATGTAAAGTAACAGAGGTGCTCATAACTCTGGGTACCAACTTCAGAAACAGAGTAAGCTTCAAAAGTCACTGAGCAAAGTGAACAAAGATCCCTACCAAGTTTTGATTTGGGGTTTGGGGTTTTTTATTTATTATTTTCAGTTAACTATAATGTTTTAATATCTAACCAAATACACATATCAACTCAACAATTTCACTAATTTATACAAATCAGAATAGCAAATGTAAGTTTAAGTTTATACCATGTAGACGTCAAATTCATCCAAGCATCTGAAAGGAGATTCGGTAATGGACCACAGAGAAAGAATGAAACAAACTGTTGAGAAGGAACGTTCACCTCCTGATAAGGATCTCACATCATTAAGGGTAGCTTTGTCTTCCTCTCGAGGCTGGACCTTGAAATAAAAATATTAGAGCAATTTTTAAACCTGAGATAGAGACCTACTAACAGAATCACAATTCTAACGGCAAACACGTTACACATGAACAGATAGAGATCACTTGAGAACAATTTTATGCACTTACAGTATATACACACTTACATACAGTTATATTACACTAAAATCCAGTCGTTACCAGCCACACTAGAAAAGCAGGTAATAGATTTACAGCAGGAGTTTAAAGGAGGAATGGTTTCTTCACCGGAATACATGAAACGTTGTGAACAGTTCATTTTTTCCATTGATTATGACGACACCTTGTGGCACTCTCCCTTTAAGATTAAACTTAAGCATTTTCTTGTCCTGGTAATTACATTACCTTTAACAAGCTAAGCAGGAAAGAATTATTTTGGAGTGGGGTCTTTTGGCGGGGGGGGAGGGGGGAAGGGGGGGGATGACATTTTCTTACTTTAATTTACTTTCCTTGACTAAATATAGATCTCTTGCATGAGAAACATGAAACATCAACTATAAAAAAAAAAAGTATTCTGATAAAGCCAGGTAATAACTTGACATTTTGTGGACTGAGTTTGAGTTCTTCAGATACGTATCCTTCACCTGTTCAATAAGGACTGTGTAAACATGTATTTATGTTGTCACTAAACATTTTTCCCCTCAGTTCCCAAAACTGAACTCTCCCACAGAAACAAAAGTACACACCCTACGAGTAAAATTTTTGAGAGGTACGTTAAGAGATACACAGAAAAAAACATAATATTGAAGCTTTCAGCCATTAAAGTTGTTTTAATAACAACTAGAGCCATTATACAATCACACAATTAAAGGCAAACTTCCTATCGATGAAATACAAATGAGCAATTTTGAAAGACTGACTCGTATGACTGGCTAGTGAATTCTTATCCTCACATAAGATGACAGTCCAAATTTATTCCATGTAATCTAGCAACCTGCTCATATAAGATGGTAATACGTTTTTTGTTCTTGCTTGTTTTCAACAACATCCTATAACTCAGCATGTCACATTCTGGAGAGGGGAAGAACAACTTACTCTCTCCTGTGTAATGCATGTTGTAGGAGCTGATATTAAAAAAATAGTAATATTTCCATTACATATTATGGTAATTGAAATAATATAAAATAACTTACTGTTATTGAAAGTGTCTCATTCTTGTGATCAAAAAGTATTTTTCCAGAGCAAGCTCGAATACGTAATAAATGGTCAAAGTAGAGTTTGCATCGTAAAGAAAGGAGCCTTAAATCAGTCAAATCAAGCAAACAAACATTAGTTCAATAAGTTTTAAAATACACTGAAAAGTTACAACAGATTTTTATCAACAGTTCCACCTCATAATCTTAAATAGCAACCCCTGCTCCATTCGTAAAGTTTTCTCAAATCAATTACACTCTGGGACAGGTGACATCTGATACTGAACATATTGGAGAGAATCACTGACACAAAGTAACAAGGTAGGAAATCCAGAAGTACAGGCTTTATATTTTCTAGAAGTCCATTTCAGTTGACTAGGAGCTTTTATACACACTTCTTTCACAACTTCAACAGAAAATGACCAAATCCCACTGCATTCCCATCCAGTATTAGGACTGCACAGTAAGGATAGTAAAGAATTTACACAGACTCTGCCAGACCCCAGGAATTAAAGTGATGAATATTAATTCCACCACCACTCCCTTCCCCCCCGAATTCTAGCATACAATTCCCCAATAGACAATACATCACAGTTCTTGCAAGACAGAATTATGGTTCTTTAACATATCTTAGAATGGGATATATACACTAAAATTTGGGCACTAGGAACAAGATTCAGTTTGACATATATGGGCACCAAAAGGCAAGCACATCCGATTCCGCAGGTAAATCTTACCCACTAGTACCTCTACACTTCCACCTGCAAAAGTTGGGATTCTCCTGATCATTACTATCTGTCAGGATGAACTGGCGCCGCCTCCAAATTGTACAAAAAGTACAAAAAGCACAAAAAGCAGAGCCAACACAGATATCCCTCTGTTTCTGCTGAAGGGAACGATGAATGATAAAGGGCTGCACTGGCAGACAGACCATCAGTCCTTCTGAAGGGAGGCCACCACAAAATCTTCATCAATTGGTATGGGATGCAAAGGGACTGAAGAAATAAGGAAGGGGTGCACTCCCAGTAGGGACACTCCACGACAGAAGCAGCTGTCAAACTGCAGAATCTGAATTAAGATTTTCAATTTTTTTCAGCACAGGGCAGAGATGATGTGTTTGGCCCACAATGAAATTACATGAGCACAGCACCACTAATTACATTCAATGAAAATGAGTGACAGGCCAGATGATTTCAATGCTAGTATGTTGCTGGTATTTTATTGACCAAAACCAGCACTGCACCAGAACTGCCTTGGATTAAGTCAGCATAGTTGAGGCCCTTCATGTGAAGCAAAATACAGCCTCCACTGATCATGTTGTTTTTCCAGCTGTCTGTCCAGGCTGCCCCTGAACTGTCAGGCAGGGTAGTACCAGATTTGGGTGCAAGACTGGGTTAGAAAGATTGCTGTGAATACTGCCTTAAAGATATCTCATTCTCATAGGTCTGCTCTAATTTTCACCCTGGAATACAGCCACATACTTACATCTACATATTAATTTATTTGAAACCTGAGATTACAGTAAAACTAACTCACCTTAAGAACTGCCGATATATTTTGAATCTCTGTGTCATTATTTCTTCCAGCAGCCTAATAAATTTCTTTAAATTCTTTACTTTACTGTTTGCATCCTCATATCTTTCCTTTGCATCATGAAATTGCCTGTTTTAATTAACAGAAAATTTGGGATCAACATGCATTACATTAAACCCAAGCTATTATCGTAAATGCTGAAAATCAAGTTGATAATGAAAACATTCAAATAAAAACTTTCTTGTGACGATCTACCTTAAAGCTAAAAGCATTTGATGAGTCAAGTAAGACATCGTTCACAAATGCAAAGTGGTCAAAAAATTAAATTTTACTTCTATTTTTAATTCTTTTGAAAGGAAACTCTTACACCAAGGAGAATGATTGACTGGGCTCCGCATGCTCAAGAACATCCAAGGTCAGTGATTCCTTGAAATACACTGCAGTCAAAACCTCAAGTAATTGCCTAACTTCTGCATTTGTTATTCAAACTAGAAGTATTCTTAATGCTCATTGCATCACAGAACAATGGCGAGTTATGTCGACACCATGTAGTCATAACTAGGATACTTCTAAACACTAAGAGCATTTCCAATTATTGGTAACTTCGTATATATATAGAGAAAGACAGTACAGACACTGTCTAAAATCACTAGAGGGTAGTTCAACACTCCTAAGTCTGTTCAGTACCAGTTGACTGAGCAATCAGCACAGCATGTTTCCATACTTTCGTACATGGTTTAAGTACTAACCACACATATAAATGCATTGTGAGTCAACAAGAAAACTCTTCTTTCCCCTATCTTTTCCATCTTACTTGAACAACTTTAGACATTAAAGATGACTTACTGTACTATTTCTTCTCTGTTTCCATGGCGATCATTTTCTGAATTTATCCTCTCTCTCAAGCGATTCATTTCTGCATCAAGACTCTTAACGGTTCTGCTGACCTCTATGCGCTCTGGGTAGATTTGCCTAGCTTGTGCAACTTTTTCCTAAAGCAATGTTTGAAACTCAATTAATTGCTACATTTTTAAACAACCTGTTTAGTCTTCACAACAAATATTTTGTGCTATGGAAAAACAAGGTCTACAAGAACAATGTTTTTGTAGACCTTTTGTAGAACAAGAAATTGTTCTTTATTTATCACAGCAAACCTAGTTATCATTAACAATTTTACTAAGAACATTTATAGGTAGGTAGTTATTTCAGCGCTAAGAACTCTATCCATCTGAGATCTTTAATATGTTCACAGTTATTTAGCTAGTACAGATAAATAAGGAACCAAATTCACCATAATTAAATAGGAGAGTCTTCCAAAAGTCTTTGCAGATGTGATTTCAGAGTTAGTTAATAAAGCTTGATTAGGTAAGTCTCTAAAACATCAGGTATGAGATCTGTACAAGGAAAAACCTAGCATCCAAAAAACCAAAACAGTATTATTTGATTTAACTTAAAACAGAAATTTTACATCATTTAATCTTTTCACTGTAAGATACGGAAGAAAAGAGTCCTAGAAGGATAACCCCTAACTTATCTGTCAAGACAGAGATGGTGCTCTGCCAGACAAACAAAAGAAGCCTCAATTCATTTATACAAAATTACTTTCACGTGATTTAGATACAGTCAGCTTAAGACATAGCTGAGGAAATACTGTGTAGCTGACTATTAATATGGTCTGTATGTTGTACAAGTGGAATGATTTATTATTAAATATTAGAAAGATCATGATCATCTGACTTCAATAAAGGAAAAAAACCCACACCTACCTCTAATTCTTTTTCTTTGGCAGCTAGTAAATCTTTATGTCTTTTTATGCAAGCCAAGTGTTCTTTCTGCTTGTCTTCATAGTGCTGCAAACGGCGTTTACTGTTTTCAACCTCTGAGTCAGCTTGGTTTAATTCATCCTGTTTGGAATAAATTAAGATGTGATAAGTGAGCTGTTTGGGGTAGATTCTTAAGCATCTCTCTAATATTTACTTATCACAGGTAATTGTTGGTTTTAACACTAATTTATTTTGCTTTCAGTAAGATGACTCCTTTTAAAGTCCAGGAGCTTTAGCAGCAACTTATCAGAAAGTCTGTACTCAATTCTGACAAGCACATAATAAAGGCCTGTAATGTTTTTAAGAACCGCATCTTGAGGGTATGTTTTAATGTTTGAAAAAAAGCCATCTTTTCTCCTAAGCCTCCAAAACACATTTGTTTTATCCACTACATTCTAGCCAGAACTTCTGCTGCCCGTGTGACATCAGCCTGAACTGCATTTCTGTGTGAAAATTCAGTGTCCTGCTATACCTATAATATGATGTAGACAACAGCAATTTCTATATTACATGAGTGTTGATACAGCTGAGGTGATATCATATCTTTCCAGAGAAGCAAACAGGTATAAAGAATGACATAAATTAAAGACAATTTTCTTCCTCATCCCTGTGAACTAAATGGCTTATCTTAAAAAAAACAAAAATAAAACACAGTCCCAAAGCAAAAACACCACCCCAAAAAAAAAAACCCCAAAATAACAAGCAAAAAAACCAACCACCACCAACAATAATGGCTGTTCTTACCTTTTTCTAATCCTGCCTTAAAGCAACAATTTGCTATATGTCAACAGTTTATTAAACAACTGTAGAACACACAGCAGTATATCCAACCTAAAATCCTTTCAGAAATTTAAAAGTTGCCCTCTGTTGCTTAATAATGAGCAATAATGTTTTAATATTCCCAATATATCTATTCTCCTTCCTTACATGCTGCTGCTTTTTAAATAGAGTATCATTAGAATGTCCACACTGGATGCATTATAACTAATATATTTATCAGCTGTTTTATTTACCTGCTTCCTTCCTCTATTTGTTTGCTCTTGCTTTTTTAATTTGGGCTGACTACATAGCAACGTACAAGTTAAGTGACGCATATCAGAGATTCCTATAGAAATCTTTAATTTTTTCCTCCTTCTACAACATGATGGACACTTATTTCCACTTTCAAACCATCAATTCTTCTTGGCAATATGAGATTGCCTTCCATTTGCTAATATTAAATTTTGCATATCACCACTCTGCTATTTATCTTAAGTCTTGCTACTTCTCTGTGATTTCCTGGTGTCTGCTGTCATCTTGAATAATTGAAACTACGTATCAGTACCTTCTGTGATTATGCAACTTCATAGAATAACAACCATTTCATACAGAACTTCAAATGCTATTTTGAAAACTGACCAGTTATGAACATTCTTAGCCCGGCCTTATCAGAAACAAACAAATAGCCCAAAACAACAGATGTGATGCACTAAAAAAGAAAGTCAAGGAAATTATTTTTCCTTCCTTATCAGTCCATGCATAAAAATACCTGGAAACAAACTCTATTTAAACATAAAACACTATATCAACTACACTTAACAATCAACATCATCTTCAAAATATTGCCAAGCCGATTTCTCGATATGCTCTAGAAGGAATGCTCTACTTCCAATTCATAGATAGACCTTAAACGTATCAGGAAGGAGCATACTCTTTTCTCTTTTTAACCTCATTTCCCTTGCCACACAAAGGGAATGATCTAGAAATACGATATGAAATTATTGCTACCTTAATTGGACCAGCAATTTCTTCTACTTGATGAATTTTTTCTTTCATTTCTTCAAATTTTTTCTCAGCTACCTGAAGAATATTTTTCAGTTCTTCCATTTTTGCGCTTTGTTGCTGCATGTCTTTTTTTACAGATTCCATCTTACCCTTATTTTCTTCCGCTTCATCTTCCTGTCAAAATACGTTAAATGAAGAATAATAAAAGGAGACATACATTTGCAAATTACTGTACAAGATTTTTATTATTGCTATCAGGGTACAAGATTACATGCAATACTCTAATAAGAATACAAATAGCTCAATGCAGTTGCCACTAAAGCCCAAAAGAAGAGACTGACAGATCTTGTAGGAGACCACTGAATCAAACTGCAAAAGAAAAAGTGGAATTTCCTAACTAACTGAAAATTAAGGAGACTTTATTTGGGAGTTGTGATGAAAACACTAAAGGGGTTAGGATTTTGTGAAGACTTAGCCATGATAATATTTTACTACAGCAAATTTTTAAACAAATAAACAAGGTAACTTCCCTCGGATCTGTGACATAGTATATACATTCAGTAGGCAAAGAAATACAGGAACAGTAAGCAGATCATCACTGTTCCCTGGACAATGATACCATTCCTAATAAATTATTATCATACATACTTCCGATTAAAAAAGACAAATATTGTAAAACCTGGGAAAAATATGTAAATAAAACTTTGTATCGCTAAGATTCTTTTTCACAATCAGACAATTGTGAAATCAAGGTGGCAATGAAAGACAAATACCACATGAAAACCAGCAAATCAAAACATAGTAGTGGTCAGAAAGCACAAAAAAAACAGAAAGAAAAAAATCCAAGAAAGGACTAAGGAGAAGCAAATATATAAATCTACCAGTTGCGCAAGACTATTATCAGAAGCAAAGGTAAAAATTCAGATGCTCAAAAAGCAAGTGTCCAACAACTTTTGAAGAGGAAAATATTCTACAAAAAGGTAATATTTTTCTATCTCACCAAAACGATAAACAATATACTTTTTTTTAAACCAACAGAACGAGATAATCTGGGACAGAGAAACCCTACAGGAACTTGCAGAATCTGTAATGAACTCTTACTTTCTGAGTAAATTTTGAAGTGTTTACTTACACGTACGCACGTGCACATACACTGAAAGACAGACTACTGAAAAAGTGTGAGTTTGTGCCAACATCAGAAGCGACAAAAAAAAAAAAAAGAAATAATATCCTGGGCAACTTAGCCTCTTGCTGATCCCAGATAAAATAGTGGGAAAACTGGCATGAAATTTTACTGAAAAAAATATAGTCAGGATTATTGTTAACATCTATTAGCATGAAATCTTGGCCATCTTTCCGAGCACAAATACAGGCTCGGTGGGGAATGGCTGGAGAAGAGCCCTGAGGAGAAGGACCTGGGCGTGCTGATTGACCACAAACTCAGCATGAGCCAGCAATGTGCAATCGCAGCCCAGAAGGCCAACCATATCCTGGGCTGCATCAAAAGAACTGTGGCCAGCAGGTCAAGGGAGGTGATCCTGCCCCTCTACTCCACTCTCGTGAGGCCCCACCTGGAATACTGCATCCAGCTCTGAAGTCCTCAACATAAGACATGGACCTGCTGGAGCGTGTCCAGAGGAGAGCCACGAGGATGATCCGAGGGCTGGAGCACCTCTCCTATGAGGAGAGGCTGAGGGAGTTGGGGCTGTTGAGTCTGGAGAAGAGAAGGCGCCGGGGAGATCTTATTGCGGCCTTCCAGTACCTAAAGGGGGCCTACAGGAGAGCTGGGGAAGGACTTTTTACTAGGGCATATAGTGACAGGACGAGGGGGAAAGGCTATAAACTGGAAAAGGGCTGGTTTAGATCAAACATTAGGAAGAAGGTTTTCACTTTAAGGGTTGTAAGGCACTGGCACAGGTTGCCCAGAGAGGTTGTTGAGGCCCCATCCCTGGAGGTGTTGAAGGCCAGGCTGGACGTGGCCTTGGGCAACCTGGTCTAGTGGGAGGTGTCCCTTCCCATGGCAGGGGGGTTGGAACACGATGATCTTCAAGGTCCTTTCCAACCTAAACCATTCTATGATTCTATGATCTGTACATTAGATTACAAAGTAACAGTTGAAATTCATGGCTACCATCATACAAATCACAATAGATTACTAAACATTTTTCTTCTGTTCTTAAACTACTATGCGTACATTTTAAGAATGCATGAATAAGAATAGGAACTTTGAAGAAACCATCATACTACCATGATCGTTCCCTAGGGCAATGTATGAACTTTAAAACTTCTGCATGGTGAAGCAAGAAACTGTGGGTTTAGGGCAGAGCAGCAGTGCTGTGACATAAATTATGCTCCAGGGTAGCCTTTACCTATGCTTTGATGGTGCCACTTCTGACTTCCAAACCTACAGCACCGCTTCACCTCAGCCAGAGTTTTACAGCGCTGCAGGTCTGGAATGAGGAAAGAAAATGCAGGGCATATCCCTTTACAACACCACCTTGCCTTCCATAAACCTGCAGTGCGATTGGTTTGAGAAAGGGCAGGAAAAAAAACAACCAACCAAACAAACGAAAACTCACCAAAAATAAATAAAATCATGCCAATGCCCTAATTGTAGACATTTTGTAGAGTTTTATGTTCTCCACTATTTATCCAACTTGTACAGTAATTGAAAATCTACAAAATTTGCTTATTTCAAAGTACTACTAACATTAAAAGAAATTATTTCATATTCTTATTAGACATAATTTGCTATTCTTACTAATGTACGGATGTCCACTGACTGGTGTTCTTCCATATTTTCAAGATCTGCTATTTCTGCATTTGTTGTTCTTATTTTTATCTGAAAAGAAAATAAACATTCTTGAGCTTATCTGAAGAGAAAAGTTGACATTTGTTCATTCAACCCAACATGGAAAGCAAGGTATTTGGACATTTAGCTTCATTAGTGCCTACAAAAGACAGAACTCCTCCCACTTAACTATGGAATCCATTTATGTAAGATATAACTTGTTCTGAAAGTCACATGCACTTTAAATCTTGAAGTTGTTATTGTATTTCCATTCAACATGACAACTGAATACAATATATTTTATTTTTCCTTCAAATATTTATCTTCAGCAATTTGAGTCCACATGCCATTTTCTTTTCTGATTGTTATTTGTCATTGAACATAACCTTATATAGTATTTAGCTTGCACTGCCTAACTGTGGTGGCCAGTGATGTATACAAATATACATCCTACCTAGAAGTACTGGAAAACAAAGAAAGAAGACTAATAGTTGTCAAATGGTTTACAAAGAAATTAAAATCAAGAAAACTTAAAGGTGAAATATTCAGCATATTAGAAAAGGTTAAGAATATAAATGAAGAGCATGTAGAGAAACAAGGTTCTGGGAATGAAGAGGTAAGGCTCAACGGAAATAAAGCAGGGGGAAGCAAGGAAAAGAAACTTACATAAAATACTGCACCAACTTGCTATTTGTGTCAAAAAAACAGCAGCAGAAATTTGTAAGATTCAGCACAAGAGGAAAAGAAAAAAGATACCATACAGAAACAAACAGCATATGCTAGGGTTGATGTGACCGCTATCATTCTGTCCTAAATGACAAAAGCATACTACAAAAGTACAACATGAAAGCAAACAACAAAAGTAAGGTTACACATTAATAACTATCATCCACTCAAAATATATTGCAAGTGTCAAAATGAAATAAGGAAAGACCGACCAGTTTCTAAAAATTAACTTTGCACCTATTTTACCTGTAGTTCTTTTTGGTGTTGTCGATGACCATGAAGATGATCTCCATTCTGCCTAATCTCATTTTCAATGGAAAACAAACGTTGGCGAGATGCTGTCATCTGTGCCTTTTTGTTTTCAATTTCGTTCTCCAAGTGGCTTTATAAAAAAAGTGATATTGAGATATTATATTACATAGATATTATTTATTAAGCATACACACACAGAGAAAGACACAAAATTAAATGCATGAAAAGACAGACGGTAAAAAAGCACCCCACCACCCCCCCCAAAAAAAAAAAAAAATCTGAAATTTGTTATGCATCAGATGGTTTGAACAATCAATACAGAAACAGCAAAGCTCTACAGCAGAACTCATTGTCAATAACCAGCAGATAGCTGTTTGATGGTCCTAGTTCAATGCCTGGCGGATAAACCATTCATGTAATTTGAACCATCTGTACCCTCTGTTAGCAATTTTTGCAAACAGGCCAAATGTTTGAACCAAACCGGGGTGTTACTTCTAAAAATACTTCCGCATCTCAAGAGAAAACAAATAACTTTTACTAGGACAACACACTTCCAGTCAGAGAGAAAACACAGTAACAGAGATGTGGAAAAAAAAAATTATATAGTCTCATACTTTTCCTTCTATAAAGGAGGTCATGTCCAGAGATTTCCATAATTAATTCTTTCAGTTTGTGGTAAAACTATTGGAAATGCAAAATAAAGCTATTTTTTATTATTATTTATAGATGGCAAAACTTTGATAGTCTTTCATCCCTGCAAAAGAAAGGGGAAGCTTTACTAATATTACTGTTAGAAAAGAAAAAATAATGCAAGTTTTTAATCCAACTTTTTCTATAGATGCATGAAATGGACTGATTAAGTCTGATCCCAGAATCAGTGTTTAATAAATTGCATATACTATTCCAGATAAATGTGTCATTGCTTTAGGTTAAGTTCTGAGGCAGAGCAAGGAGGTGGGAAGACATTTTTCCTTTTTAACTGGCCTACATCATTCCCCCATAGCAATTTTGGTAATGAAATGCCTATAAACACTTTGAAAGTTAAGGTAATCTTTGAGGGGAGTTCACTATATACTGACAAAGTACAATTAACTGACACTTTTAAATCTTTTGAGTTTGCAAAATAATTTTTTAACATCCAGTTCAGTCTACACTATCAGCTATTAATACAATAAATTAAAATATTTACTTAAAATGTTTGCCATATAATCTGAGCCTCAAAATAAAATGATTCTATTGTCATCAGTTTACTTGGTGACAGTTCAGTCTTTAAACTTTGAAACGTGTTTGGTTTTTTAAACTACCATTTTGAAAGCAATGAGAAAAAACATAACTAGAAAATAAAATGGAAGGGGGGTGAAGTCAAGTTTATCAGACACCTACCATAAGTGAAGTCAAAACCCTGAGAAAACACAGATGCAAAGTTTGAAAACTGTAGGTTTAAGGGTGCCAATTTTTGTTTGAATAATCAGGTTTCCTTTGCAGTAAACTATGATACCACTGTTCAGGTACTAGATTTTTAAAGAAATTGCCTTGACTCCATATTCTTTTTCAGGAACCATAAAATAAAAAGGAAGGTAGCTAGATTTCCTGGAATATTCAGCCTAGAAAATCCCTACTTGCTGGGTAAAATTTACATGCGACAAGCTGAAAAATATCTAGATTTGTACCTATCACAGAAAGGCCTTGAAATAAAGAGGTTTTCCAGACGTCTCAGAAAAGAATTGCAAATCTCAGAAAGAAAATGCAGAGACTGGAGTAGTGTACATGTAAATAGACAAATACGCAATTCCACTATTCGTGTCAACAAGTGCACTTTTTACAAATACAATACAAGATGCTAACCTTATTTCTGCTTCAACATCTTTGCTTAGGAACTTGGGTCTGACGTAATCAGAAGAGTAGTATCGTCTTTCAAATACCTGATCACCTTCAGCAGTAAAAGCTTCTCTACAATTTTTTGGGGGCCGATTAAACTGCATTACTTCACGAGCTTTACGGCTACTCTGAAAAATACAAAGACCTTATCATACCAACAGAAAAGCAACCATAATTAAAGGTATTAATTTAAAACTTGTCTAGAAGTTCTTACCCAGAAATAATTACAATTCCTAATGAAAAATAACAGTAATGAAAGAACGTGAAAAAAATCTGTAGTGTTAAGAATCTGCTTTTCTTAGTTGAATAAGACATTTATGTTTTCAAAAACCACCCACTTAGTTTAGCTGTCCATTTCTTTTATTCTATTATAAATTTATTTAAATTGTAAGCTCCGTAGTTTGATCAGTCCCTTATAACTTGCCATGGGAAAAAAAAAACACTAACCAAAAGGTCACTATGCACAGTTATATTTAACTGTCAAGAGTGAAATACACGTATAGGAAACAATCTTCCAAAGAAAGCTGCAAAGTACATCAAATGATATTTAATTAAAGTTTGGGGAAACACGCTGGTAAAAAAACGTCGCCAGTGCCAGACTAAGTTGTCACAAGTGCCTTTGACCAAGGCAATCATGTTAACCATTCAGAAGTATAATTTAATTCATACAACACCCATACAACTTCTTTCAGATTCAGCTGAAATTGTTCAGGTAGTGCTCAACGATAGTAACATGAAAATCAGTGGTTAGGGTAAGGCAGAGAAGGAAGACCAAAACTAGTATTCCTGCCATGAAAAAGAGTTTAGGAAGTTCAGCTGCTATGTATCCCATTCAGTGCCAGTCATGCTTGCTAAACAGTCAGCTCTGCACTAGACAGACCATGAACTGCCTCTTTTCCATCAGGAATGTCAGATGACAAAATGGGACAAGCAGTTTTGGAGAAAACCAAAATCTACAAAGACTAAGTGTCATTCGTTCTGCTGCTCATAGAATACCCTGCTTTCTTTGAACAAAAATATATGTATCTTATTTTTAGCTTTGAACATTTCACCTGTAATCTTATCTGCTAGAGCTGGTATCTTTAGTAGTAACAGAAAATCAAAACCCAATTAAGGTCAGAAATCATATAGTGGCAGAAAACAGTTCATTAACACATTTTTATGGTGATCAAATAATAGATTCTTAGCAACAAAATAGTATGTAATCTTAAATCAACACCAGTTGCTAGTCATCTCATTCAATCCTAAAAATGGTAATAAGTAACTCCTCATTACCATTTTTTTATTTTACCAGACTCTATCCACAACCACGACACACTTGCTCATATCAAATCCAAAGGGACTCTGGGTGTTATGGTAGGTGGAAAAATAAATTAGGCTGTGAATGCTAACACAGCTGATAATTTCACGTAAGAGTGGGTGGCTGAATATCCAAAAGGGAACTTTTGAACTCTCAAGCACAAGCCTGCTACAGCTACAACTGGTACCTAGCTACCAGTTGCTGAGTGCAACTGGTAGGAGCCGGTTCCAAATTTTGGTAACACTTGGACTACACAGAACTGACACATCCTGAACTCACCAACTGATATGGAGACATGAGACAGAGAGAGCAGTTAGGAGGCTGACCATACGCACATGGACTATTTAGACTGGGAAAGCAGACCACTTAGAGGCTCAGAAAGGTGGTGGTGAACATCCCAGAAACAAACAGGGAAGATCCTGGAAACACATGGGGAGAGATCTGTCTACAAAGATCTCTGGGACAAATCCCAGAGAATGCCCAGGGACCTCAGACAGTAACAGCCCGAATGGGCATCTGTGAGCAGCTGCACAGTAAGAACCAGTAAGATTTTCTGCCTGGTCTTCCTGGATCTCCTTGCTGGGGACAGAAGTTGAGACCTTTGAAGGTAGTGTTGGGCAGGGGCAGGGAAACAAGCAGGTGTGTGGAAATAAGAGTAAGTGCTCTAACTTCTCGATTCTTAAATAAATCCCAGTATCTAAATCCACTATGGCTTGTCAGTTTACTGTCTCACCCATGACAGAAAACAGGGTTTGAAGTGGGACACTGACAGTTTATTGAACACCAAGAGGGCCTTACCAGGAACCCTCCAGTGGAAACATACATGTGTGCATACTGCACTATAACACTGATAACTGATACACCCAGGGTTTACGGAGCCATCGGGGTCCTCACCTCTCTCAGAGGGGCAAAAAGAAAAAGAAAATAATCTACTCTACCTCTTTTGTCCATAACAGACACTATCAGCAAAGGTATTGTATATGCTCCAAACGAAGAGAAAATGGTTTTCTTTAAAGACCAATAGGGAGCATAGAGTCTTACTTTAATCAGCAGGATTGTTTCTATACCCCTCACATCAATCAAACAATTGGCAACCACTGCATGATCTATCTCCAATGCTGTGAGAACCGATGGGAATTCTGGATGATGAACTGCTCTGAAGAAAAGAAGAAAAAATATCATTCATAAAGCTCCCATGAAATCTTTAAAAAAAATATTTCAAAAAATTCTTTTCAACTAATAATAATTTGAACCATAAAGGCTAAGCAACAAAATTCAAAACATGACTTACCTGTGCCTAACATCATAAACTGTATTCTGAAATTTATTTACAATTATTTGAGGTCTAAATCCTTGTGGATAATATTTTGACATTAGCAGCTGAAGAGCTCTTTCATCACTATGATTATCACAGCAAAATGCCTGAACTAGGCTCTTTAAACAAGATTCAACAGCCAAGGTCAGTTCAGCATCTTTTGGATGAATGAAAGCACCTAAATAAACATAAGAGACAAGGTTTTAGGAGCTGTGTTCCATAACAAAACATCTAGTAGTGCATTTTTACCACTCAAAGTTTTTGTTTTGTTGTGTTATGGGGGTTTTTAAGAGTCTAAAATAAACCTTTCTTACAAGAAGAAAAAAAAAATTACAAAGTTAACTAAAAGATAAAAACCACCACAACAGACAAGCCACCCTGAGAACACAGACATATAATTTCTCTTCCTATAGAGACACCTACACATATTTAGATGCCTACATTTTCTTCCAAGATCTTTGACAGGTCACTACTAACTTCCATTAAGGTACCAGTTTTACGGCAGCTCAGCAGGAGTATATCAAGGCAAAGATTGCTTATCAACCATTTAATGCTTTAAGGGTAAAGGCAGAGGAACAACTATGCTGTAAGTTAAAAAAACATTAAGATTTCCATTTTATCACCTGTCTTCAGTAGTATGTGTGTTTGCATGTTCTTACCCTGCAGTAAATGCCCAGTACTTAAGTACCTGGCCTTTACGCTTACAACCAAAATATGCTGAAGCCATGAACTGAAAATAGCAGTCACTGCTGGAGCGGGTCAAAAAACAAATGAAATCAAACTTTCCAAGAAAATTTCAATTGGTTCTGTAAGAGTCACTCCATGCAAAACACCAAGTTTGAGAAGCCCACAAGTCAGCAACTGGACATTTTGAACAAAATCTGTCCCAGAGCTGGACAGTGCTATCCAACAAGCAACAGGCAGCCAAAGCACAACAGACTGATGCTTAGAGTGGGGGGGGGAGTCAGAGGGGTGCACTGGAAGTTTATCATTGTAACTATACAAAATACCTTAACAAAACCAGCTAGAAAATGAGGAAAACCAGTAGATGTTAACTAGTTCATGTGATAAAAAGAACAGAAGCAAAAGATAATCTACTAGGACAAAACCTTTAGTCCAGGAAGTACAGAAGAAAGATACATCTGAAGCTCCTTAAAGAACAAAGAGTTCTTCTAAAAGATCACTGTTTACATTCGCAGCCACGCAATAAATCCCATGAGGAAATATGTCTTTTTCAGCAGTCATTCTCACCTAAAGGTCCTACGGGTTTGTGTTTAAAGCACCCTTGCCTATAGGCTGTTTCAACTGCTTCAAGAAATTCTGGTATATGCGGTCCAAATCTTTTCAAGGTATTTGTTTTACTATCTTTCAGCTCTCTCAGTTGTTTCTGCTTGGCATCCAGTGCTTGTTTCATATCACAGTCTTCTCTCCTAAGAGAACAGTAGCAACAGCTTATGAAGCCTTAATTTGATTAAAATAATTGTTAACTCTCATTTTTCAAGTACTAATAGGACAGTGTATAGAAACCTCAATACTCCAATGTACTGCTAGCTACACACATGTAACAATATTTTATAGCTTCAAGAAACATGAAACAAAAAAGCAAGAAAGAAAATTACTACTTTGCAACAGTTTTACAAGACTTATTTCTAACAGTTTATAATAAATTTCTTTCCAATTACATGTTTCAATTTCACTATCTTCTACAAAGGTCTTAAACAGAACACAAAGTAACTGTTGGTTATAATAACTGATAAAAGACATTTAAACTAATACATCAAGTGCAATAAGCAACAATTCTCAAATCTCTTAAGAAAATAAATGACAACATCGCCGTAATCCCCTCTGGTAATCATTGTTAAAGTTCAGGTTTCCAAATCAAAGCCAGAGTGTTTGGTTTTCCTAGCTCGGGTATCGGCTAAATTGGTATTTGAACCACTTGCTTCAAAGTCTCTATACATTTCCCTTTAACTATAGGTACAATAACTAACCCTAAATGTATCTATTCCCTTATATGTTGTTATATATCTTGTCACATCATATCAGAATGTACTAGTATATTAAACAACATGAAAAAATTTAAATCAGTCTACCCATAGGATAAGAGAATAAGGGACAGATGGTGGGAGAAAGGAGGGCATTAAACTGACAGTATGGATTTCTATCAGGCTTGAAATTAGTAATACCCTTCACCTTTAATGACAAAACAGTTTTCTTAATTTTCTAAAAGTTTCTAAATTAAGTTATGCTGTGACAAAGACAGAAGTTTAGCAAGTTCTATGATAAACTAGGAAAAAAAAATAAAATTGAAACTAAAGTCTAGAACCCCAGGGAATGCAGGTAGATAAGAAGAGAGCTCTTATAACTTGAAACAAAGGAAAACAGTTAAATTCAAAAAGCGTAACTTACCTAAGTCTAGTATGTTCTTCCTTACACTTAGATATAGCCTGCTGAAACTGATCTACCTGTTGACCAATCATTATTTCTTCATCATGGAATGCCTTTAACTGTTCCCTTAAGTGGGCAATTTTCCTTTGTCTTTCCAATTTTTCAGGCTCTGAAACCTGATTAGCACTAGAAAAGATCATATTTCCATATTTGAAAACCACACTGATGATTTATATGTGACAAGAACTTAGTTTTATTACCTGTATCATACAAAAGATTTATGCATCAGAAAGTTACATTTAAGATTCTGTGCATTCACAAGATCTACAAAGCATAAATACCTATTGTAGTCTTTTTTTTTTTTTGTAATCAAACAAAACCCTCCCCAGTTACATTTCTATTACGTTTAGTTTAAGGTATACTTGTTTTGCAACACCACGGAAACTAGGAAACGTATTATCACCAACAAAAAAGAAAAGCTTTTTTTCTGCCCATTTACCTCATTGCTTTCTAGTCAAAATCTTGGTATGCAAAGAAGCAGGATCAGAAATATTTAAATATTTAATTGGATCCTGTTAAAGTTTAAATAAATATTAAATAAACTGTTACGGTAGATATTCTTATTAATCAGAAAAGCTCACTCCCTGCATAACTAACTATACCTTAATAAACTTACACTGTAATCACTGTATCTGTTTTTACCTGCTTTTCAGTTCTTCAATTCGTTTACGTAGCTGTTCATCATCTTTTCCCAGACGTTTTAACTCAATTGCAAAACGATTATAAAGTACCTATGAAGGAAATAGGATACAGTATTCATAAATAGAAGCAAGAAATAATTTCAAAAAGAACTATAGTGTTGAGTAAATAAACACTGAACTGCATCAAAACAGACAAAACCAACTGGAATTTCATGAATGTGAAAAAGGACTAACACAGTTAACTTGAATCATATTTATTTTGACCTAAGCTTAACACCCGTGTAAAGATATAAACCCCATGGCCCCCAAACAGAACCTACATGCAAGTCAGGCAGGAAACTGGGCCTACTTTGAACTACACTATGGATTCAGGAAGCCTAGACACAGATGGAGCAGCACATATGGGTAGAACATAGACAAGATTAAAGCTTTAAATTGGTATGAACATTGAAAGTTCTTTTTGCCTACCTCAGCTTCATTGACTGCTTTTCTTTTTGCCTGTACATCAGCCTTCAAAGATACACACTGAGGATGCAGGGCTTGTGCTTCTTCACTTATTGTTATTAACTTGTCTTGTATTGCTTTGTACTTTTCTTCTGCTTCATTCACTTTTACCTTTGGTGCAAAAAGAGAATGATCCACAAGTAGTGAAGCAAAATTTGTTAAAAACCTCTTAATGCTATAGAAGTACGTTTCAAAAGAATGCATCAAACTTATCTCATTTGCCTTTTTTTCGTTTAAAAAAAATAAAGCAAGTCATTGCCACTATGGATACGCTAAGATGAAAATCAACAAAGGAACATACTCAGGAAACCAACGGACTACCAAATCTGTGAAGTAAACAGCAACCTTCTTTTCTAACTCATGGTTTACTCAAACACAGGACTCTTAATACAATAAGGCCAAGTACCACAATATGAAAAGAAGTCAAACCAGTATCTGGAGAATGTTCCTTCAACACCACACAGACATGTTTGGCCATAAAGTAAAAACGCTTCAATTTTAAAACAAATACATGCTCTTTATTTTAAACATTAAAAAAAAAAAAAAAAAAAAAGAAGGGAAGAAATGAGTGCAAATTCAGAAAGTCTGGAGGAGTTTTAACACACTGAAAAGTTCAAAATAACGACGTCTGGTGTTTCTCTGCAAAACATATATTTCATATGCGAATCTGAATGTTTGGCCAAATTATTCTTTTTTGCTACCTAGAGAAGTCTTAAGTACCATTTACAGAGTCTGTTAAATTTCTAGATGTCTCCTGAAATCAGACACCGATCTTTTCTACAGGCAATGATACCCAAAAACCACCATGACAGATCTCTGAAAGATGCTCCAACATTACAGAGAGGCATTAAGTAACTACTCTCAACAGTAAAACAGTTAAATTACTGTTCACTTGTAAATGGTCAGCTCAAATTCCCAGTCAAAATAATAAAACCCTTACCTGAAACAAAAGCATCAGCATGAAAACCACACACACCCCCACTAATCAACAGGGGAAAAAAAAAAAGTCCTAATATTAGTATCCACTGAAAGGTGGAATGCAAACATTCTTGTTAAGTTTTAGATGGCTAAAAAGGCATATGAACAGCAATATTCTTAGCTGTTCTTGAAAAGCTAAGATGGCCAGTTCCTGTAACTTATAAGCTAAAGGGCAATCATAGTTTAAATATTATTTTTATTCTTGAGTCAAGGAGCCAAAACTAGAGTGACGTGGTTTAAACCACATATGTACCTGGCATTCTTCTAGCTTCTGAACAAACTTCTCTGTATTTCCTTCTTTAGCTCTGATGCCTTCTCTGATTGGCTGTATTTCTTTTTCCATTTCACCCACCTAAATAGAAACATATATTAGCATATGTGTGAATGTACGCAGCAGATTGGGAATAATTTAAAGTAAGTTTCATATGAGGAAACTTATTTTAATGAGACATTTACCACTGCCCAAGCCATTTTATGTTTCAGATCTTCAAGATGATTTCGCATCTCATTCACAAACCCAATGCTTTTGTAACGGTCCTTTTTTTCACAATAAAGCAGCTTAAGTTCTTGAAGACGCTTTAAAAAAAAAAAAAAGGACAGGTTCAACCATGAGTGCAAAAAGCTGTGAAAAATTTGAAATCTTGGCATGATTTGCCTCAGTCTTCAGCAGTAGGACCAGTTGTTCCCTGAGTACCCAGATCCCTGAGCTAGAAGACAGGGATGGGGAGCAGAATGAAGCCCCTGTAATCCAAGGGGAAATGGTAAGGGACCTGCTTCAGCACCTCGAGGTACGCAAATCTATGGGACCACATGGGATCCACCCAAGGGTACTGAGGGAGCTGGCAGAAGTGCTCACCAGGCCACTTTGCACTGTTTATGAGCAGTCCTAACTAACCAGGGAGGTCCCAGCTGACTGGAGGTTGGCAAACGTGACACCCATCCACAAGAAGGGCCGGAACGAGGATCCAGGGAACTATAGGCCAGTCAGTCTGACCTCAGTACCTGTGAAGGTTATGGAACAGATCATCCTCAGTGCCATTACACGGCACATGCAGGAGAACAGGGTGATCAGGCCCTGATCTCCTTCTATGACAAAGGTGACCCACTTAGTGGATGAGGGAAAAGCTGCGGATGTTACCCACTTGGATTTTAGCAAAGCTTTTGACACCATTTTCCACAGCATTCACTCACAGCATTGAGATGCTGAGAGAGCTGGGGCTGTTCAGCCTGGAGAAGAGAAGGCTCCGGGGAGATCTTATTGCGGCCTTCCAGTACCTAAAGGGGGCCTACAGGAGAGCTGAGGAAGGACTTTTTACTAGGGCATGTAGTGA